TGGACATATTTTTAGACCATAATCCTATAATTATACTGGACTTATCCACTGGCCTATAGAGGAACACAGAGGATTAGATACCTATTACGAGATTGGTACTGCTCACGCAGATGATAGCGAACTCCAGGGTATGGTGTCAAGCATTCCTCTCTCAATCCATAAAACAGCATCATCAAGGTAGCATGATTCCGGAAGGCTAGCCTCTATACCAACTTTCCAACAAAAAGTATGACAAGTTTTCCTGTAATGGCAACCATAACGCGTGACTAATTATTTCCTTTGATAGTTAGGTTATGAAACCCTAATATCAGTGGTTTTAGATTATCATATTTTTCTATATAATCCTACAATAATATGATAAATACAATAGCGTCAGAACTGTAGGTATTAGGGTTTTACTATTTAAGGTAAAATATAAACAATTAGTCAGGCGTTACAGTTGCCGTTACAGCAAAAATTGTCACACTTTTTGTTGGAAAGTTAGTATTGCGGCTAGCGTTCCGGAACCATACTTTCTATAAGGTATGACAAACCCCTTTCCCAATGCATTACTCAATACTCTTCTACCATGAGCGGACCCCTCCCATCCGGCTAACACATAGTAGAATTGAAGATTAAAGGTACAAGCTACTATCACATTTTGCGTAATCTGCCTCTTATGGTTCCAAAATAGTCCAACTTTCTCAACAGGTACATGTGCTAGAATATGGGTTCCATCAATCGCTCCTAGTACATTCTTGAAGTAAGGGTAAAATTTCTTGCTTCTCTTCACTTCATATGGGAACTCATTTGGTGGAAGAGTTATAAGACTTGTATGAAGCTTTATAAAAGCATTTAAAACAAGATTAAAGTATCTATTTTTTTATACTGGATGTAACTGGAAATAGAATTCCATCTATTTGGTTTAAGGATTTGTTTTATGTTTTGTTTTACTTGTGGTTTCAAGTATCCTTTGATACTCAGTTTGTTTTACTTGTAGTTTTGAGTATTCTTTGATAATCAGTTTGTTTTATTTGTGGTTTCGAGTATTCTTTCATACTCCGTTTGTTTTACTTGTTGTTTCAAGTATCCTTTGATACTCAGTTTGATTTACTTGTGGTTTCGAGTATCCTTTGATACTTAGTTTGTTGTACATGTGGTTTTAAGTATCCTTTGATACTCAGTTTGTTTTACATGTGGTTTCGAGTATCCTTTGATACTCAGTTTGTTTTACTTGTGGTTTCGAGTATCCTTTGATACTCAGTTGGTTTTACTTGTGGTTTGGATCAAGGAATGCTTGGGAACTCACCCATGCAGAACATAGATAAAACCTTGTATTTAAAGACTACTGTTTCTCTCAAAGAAACAGCAGACTTCGACAGACAGAGTATTTCTAATATACTTGGTTGAACGGTTACCTCTTCAAGTCCCTATTCTTTATATCTTTCTCTTAAAGCCTCCCTTAGTGCAGTATGCTCATAGGTTGTAGTTCAACTTGTACACTACTCCTATTGTAACCGGAAGTGTGACTAGCACCCCGGTGCCAACACGTTACACTGGATTAGTTTTTATGTATAACAATTAAATGCATGTAACGGGGGCTCCCTCACGTAGATGGTTCCTAAGAATGCGACCGCACCAAAACTTCGAATCTCTTGAACACAGCTCTTGCAAAAGTGTAAAGAATAAAAGTAGATGGTAAAACTTAATATCGTTAAGCTCAGGCTTATCTCAATAAAAGTCTCTGGAGAGGATGTCGATTGTGTCGGGGTAGGAGAGTTCTCATATAATCTTTAAGTAGTCAGACTTATACCAAAAACTCACCTATCAGGTTACTCCGACCATCATGAGTATGCCCTTCTCCATAAGGGTTGCTCCGGCACCATTACCGTGTCCCCGAAGGGCTAAGGTGTCAGCGCACTCTAGCAGAATTCTCCTATATGCACATCAGTTCCTGCAAGGTGTTTATCAATACACCTGCCAGAGTGAAAACCTCTTTGCATCAGTGTCTCGCCAGTAGCTAACTGTCGAGACCCTTAGGAAAGCTAACTAAATGACTCTCTTCCCATGTGCTATGACCTATGTGAGCACTCGTAGACATCAGCTGTCTTCCGGCTAAGTTCTATCTTTCTTGATTGCGAACTTAGGGGGTCTACGACGCTCCCGCGGAGAGCTGTGTCGGCGGCAGGACCCATAGGTGCTACCTATGGTCCCTTACCCACGACACACCACTCACCGTGATAAGTATCATGCTATTAGAGTCTTCAAACAACCCACAAAGAGCCTATGGCAAAGGGGCACGTGTAGGCTTGATTGGCGTAAAACCTTCCCAGATGTCTCCCGTACTACCCGGGACTACTCTGGGGACTCTTCCGGATAGCTCACGCTAACTCCGTCAGTTTTGGTCTGTTTTACTCCGTTCCTTTTGGAGAAGGTACCTGACCTTCTCACCTTCACTCCCTTATATATCCTGTGAACAGCCTCCGGTCGGTCGGACGGCAGTGACATATACAGTGTTATGGACATGTCTTCATAAACTCCATTTAACTAGTAAGACGGCAACTCGACCCATTTTGGCCCATGACGCTCGGGGCAAGCCCTGGGGCTGCAGGTACCTGTTAGGAATTATTCTACCAAGTTATAGCTTGTTCAAAGCACTATAGCTCCTCCCGTAGCCTTCTAATCAAAGTGCATTTAAGTGCCCGTCAATCGTCATTGCGTAACAAACAATCCTAACATTTCCCGAGATTCCTCCGAGAACATTTCCGACGGAAGGTAGGGTAATAGTGTCCCAAAGGTAGGGTAAGTATGTCTATTGTGACGCAAAACCGGTCTCCATGGTAGGGTAACGTGACTTTCCTAGACAGGGTAAACTTACCGGGCCTTCCGTCCTAACCTTAGGCCGCAGCAGACATAGTCACTTTACTTCCACTACTTAGGTACACCTATTCCTTAAGTACCTTCTGTTCTTTAGCATATCTAGACCATCAGATATCCCTTGGACATGCACTTGCATGCCCGCCTAGTCTACCATGTTACCTCTTGGTATTACGTATGGGTGTAGACTTAGGTTGCCATAGCTCTATAACTTCGGGTTGTTACAATAGATAAGAACAATTTGAACTTACCGACTTACTGTGTAACTACTATATTGAAACGTCTCTTGTACTTCTTGATTCGAAGCATTCCAACCAATAGTCCAAATGAACATAGCGACCTATTCATCTATATTCATATATCTTCCTGACGCAAGACCACCTCTCTTGGTAAACTATTGACAAAGTTCAAGAAATACCTCATGAGACATTCTCAATACCTCAACTACTCGTTGAGGATTAGTCGAAGGCCTAAGAAGTTCCTTAACGTAAGCTTTTCCTGTCAGTGCTAAAGTACTACAAGGCTCGCCTGCATATCATGTACTTGTAACATCTGTTACTGCAATTGCAACATTCAACAAAAAGTAGGCATTGAGTCTGAATGGAACATCTCTTGAGTTGCTAGTAGTAATATTCGAATTGGCATCCATGATACTAGAGAGAGGAACATTGTTGAATTGGAATATATATATTGGAATAATTGAAAAAGAGGAATCTCTTGTAATTCTAGGTCTAAGAATGTGAATATCAAGATATAAGAAGATGTTTATTATGGAGGATAGGATTACAATTGATAATGTTATATAATATTACTTGATATAGGCCTGAATTTATTTGTTTATTTTATTTGTAAGAAAAATACTATAGTAAAAAAATACCACTGTATTTTTATAAAAATACTATGGTATTTGTTTTTGCCAAACACTAGGCCAAACTAAAATAAAAATACCATGAAAAATACTCCATAAAAGTGAAAATACTATTCTATTTTTGGTGTGCCAAACAGGGCCTAAATCCATGGTTTATTTGTAGCTAACTACAGGAAAATCCATAACATGCAACCTAAGTTATGGCCTAAAAATCCTGTGTAACAAAAGAAATTCATACCTCCATCCCCTTATAATAAAAGAAACATCATCCTCATAACCAATAGCAGTCTAGAATGAACCTACACAGCAGCCATGAACCCTTCCTTTTCCATAGACAGCCTAGTATCGATGGGAGAGGACAAAAGCTACAGCAAACCCAACTGGAGAGACCCAATGACTGAAGTTAGAGAAGAGCCTGTTGAGGATAGTAGGGTGCTAGCTAGGGTGGGTGGAAGGGACAAGAAATGGTGCCACCATTCCTTGTAGGATAGCCTGATGGCACAGCCAGAGCAGGGCTTAGTAGGGGCAGTAGGGTGCCAGCCAAGGTAAATGGAGAGGCCGAGAAGATGCTGCCAACCTGAGTGGGGTACTGGGTGCCCAGTGGCAATAGCCAGTGGAAGGCCCAGGGTGTCTGACAGGCAAAGCCAGAGCAGGACTTTTAGGGAGTAGTTGGATGCTAGCCAAAGTGACTGTACAAAGGTAGTGGCAGGCAGAACCAGGAACCCAATACAAGGAACCGCCAACTGTAGAACAGCTAAGCGAGCCCAGCAAAGGTGGAGCCCATGTCAGGCGAACCAACCGAAGTAAAAGGCTAATGACATTGAAGAATGACCACTAGCAGAGGTAGGGGCCCCAAAGGCAAAGGCCAGAGGGGAAAGGGTGCTATAACGTGGTAGACCTGCCCCCCCAAAGAGGGGGAGCAGGAAGTGGTGATGTTTTCTGGTATTGATCTCTTCCCAAACAGGAAATTAATGTCAACGACCAGAGGTGTAGTGGAGACGGAGCTTGTGCATGTGCTCGAGTATTGTACTAGTACTTGTACTCGAGTATTGTAGCCTGCTATACTTGAACCATTAGGGAAGGGTACCCCCTGCAGTTCTGCCGCTTTTGAGGATAGCTAAATCTGAATCGAGTTTAGGGGGAAAGCGAGGGGATTTACTTCAGCGGTAGACAAGTGTTTAACCAACCACTCGAGTACATGTGAATCACTTCCACTCGTGCGTGACCAAGAACACCAGTCGATGACTTCCCCCCGGAACTACCAGCTCAATCAACCCATGATCTGCTTCAGCACGTCGTCTCGGAGCGTCTCCAGGTTTCTCGTCGAGTCCACAACGACAGCATTGTCATGTGGACGGCACGGGTGATCGATCCACTTCTGGAAGAGGGCGCGGGAGTCTTGGCCTGCCCGAGCGCCGTGTGTGGCAGCAGGGGGACAGTCGACGCCAGTTCGCTGGCTCGTCATCGGATCCCGGCTGCGCAGCCGCTGGTCCAACAGATCAATGTCTTGGACCTTGCACTCGACATACCAGTAGGTGAAGCCGTGCTGCTTGGCGAGTGCAGTGCCCTGGTCGAGGACCTCTTGGAAGTTGCAAGTGCTGTCGATGATGATGCTGTGGCCTTGCTTCATGATGTCTTGGGCCAGTGTCCACTGAAGCTGGTAGGCCTGCGCTGCCGCCTGGTCGAATGGAGTGTTGGCTTTGAGAAGAGAGGATCGGATGACATCGTGATCGATGACCACCCCGTCGATGGAGCATCCGAGCATTTTTGCCATCGTGCTCTTGCCAGAGCCTGGCGCACCAGACATCTGGATGAAGAGCTTGTGTGGCCTCAGCTGCTTGGACATTTTGCCGTGCTTCGATACCTGAGTGTGTGTGAGTGTGTGTGTGCGCGCTTAAGGTGGTGGATGGGTGAAGGAGAAATGGAAGAAAGATGGGACTGAAGGAGGAGCAGCACCGATATATATAGAGCTTGCTACACGTGAACATACACCATAGGACTCGGCATAATTCCGGTCGCAACACACAGGGGTCGTGATGCGCCCCTGCCCCCCTGTGCAAATCGGGGCTATAGACTCATCATGAAGCTCTTTACAAGGGCCGCCAGACGTGGTACGAATCCTTTTTGCCGTTAACGTCATTGACAGGGAAGTGGCTCATCACCGGGATGCGGCTCACCCATGACAACCTGTAGAAAACCAAATGCATCTGGAATTATCTCTATGGATAATTATGAGATCATCTCAAAAAATTATCAGTAAGTGCTTAGTAATATGGAGAATTCAAATATGCAAATTGTTTTTCATAATTATAAATTCATCCTCCTGGCTAGGGTTTTTAAGATTGTGTCTCAGAAACAAAACTGTTGGTGCTTTTTAGTCAATCAAAATTGAAAAACATATAAGAAACATCTTTATGAGACAATCAAGAGACTGAATAGGTCTTACAAGCTGATAGCCAATAGTTCTCTAAGATATTTCTTACTAATTTGTAATATTTTACTGCCCAGTAGAAACTAATGAAAAATGAGTGAATTACATACAAATTTAGTATATTTGATGATAGCATAACATGTTACAGTAATAACCTATGACTTAGACTTTTTACATCTAACTTTACAGTTGCCATTTGAGTAAGTACAGTCAATTTGAAGTGTGACAAGTATGTATTCCATATTTTGTACCTTCATCATTGAAATTAACTTTAAATGATCAGTAAATGATTATATATCACGGCTACCAGGATTAGGATAGCGCAGTTGCCATGCAGGGATTTCCTTTGTACTAGATGGGTCAGGTGTTTTATAGGATTGGGTGGTTGATCTGTGTAACAGAAACTGATGGAAGAGGGTGGACTGATCATAGCTGCGCACAACTTTAGAAGAATTAGTAATTTAGAGATTTCCTTTTTCTATATAATGGAGTGTGGCCCTTATGAGTTTACTTTCTTTACACAATCTCATATTTACCTTTGGGCACCTGTTCTTTCTTACCAGAGAGTACATGAAAATTATCATCACTCTTCAAGTTGTTTCCCTATTATTTAGGAGGGCAGGGCTCTTACCACAGGTTGTTTCTGGCCTTCACTTTGCCTGCAGGCATTTCTACTAGTACCCTTCTTTTCTTTGGTATCAGCCACTGGGAACCCCTACTTTATGGGTAGTTATCTAGCAATACCACTAACCCTCTACTATCCTACTTTGGCTTTACTTAGCAATTGCTCTTCATGGTTGGTGAATTTATTTCTGTCTTCCACCACTACCATCATATCTCGTTGTTATCGTGGCTGGCATCCTACTGCTAGAGTTTGTTACAGGGCCTCCAGGGCCCTGAAAACTGCTGGTCCCTGTCCCCATACCCCACTCCACCCCACCCCTTGGCCTGGGGTAGAGCCTATTTTCTCCTCTATTTCCTTCCTAGCCTAATATGGCCCCCTGCCCTGGCCACCTCCTGTACAGGGCCCCACTATTTCCCCCACTAAAGTATATAGCTGGAAGCACAATTGGGGTCACTGGGTAGCTCCTGTGCAGGGGGCAGACTGAGCAGGGGAGGTTTGCCAGCGCCCCGTGTCCGTAACGGCGCAGGGAGAACTTGCAGAAACCTGCCCGACTGGCACCCTGCCCTTTAATGAATACTACGTACTGCCTATGAAAAAACCCTGCTCTGGTTCTTGCTCTCAGGTCCTTGTTAGTTAGCCTTCCCATCTTCCTTCATCACCTCCATCTTAGCTAGTACTCTGCTGCTCACCATTGTGGATAGCACCATACTGCTCCATACTTTAGTCCAACACTGGCATCTGCCAGAGTTGATTTACTACCTGGCTAGCACCATACTGCTCCCCATTAAAGCCCTGCTCTAGGGATGGCTATCAGGCATCTACCAAAGTCCTGCTTTGGCCTCGAGCATCAGGCAACTACTTAAGTCCTGCCCTAACTTTAGTTATCAGGTATTCAAGTTCTGCTTTGGCTTTGGCTATCAGGCACTCAAGTCCTGCTCTGGCCTCAGCCATCAGGCAACTACTCAAGTCTTGCTCTGGCTTTGGCTATCAGGCATTCAAGTCCTGCTCCTGCATTAGCCATCAGGTAACTAGTTATGTTCCTTTCCTAGGTTCAGATTTGTAGGGTATCTACTGTGGTGTTCAGAAGGATCTGAGTAGATAGTCTGTATTCTGACCACATCAGCAAAAATAAAAGGTTGTGTCCTGCGTGTTCTATGCGTCTGATGAACAGAATACACAGAACACAAACTACAACTCAGGATGCAACCATTCTTGGTACCAGCAGTTAGGATGCAATCAATTACTCTCTGAATTCTCTAAACACTACCAGATGCAGTAGCCATTCTCAGGATGCAAGCAAGCACTGCTAAATTTTCAAGATATAATACCAGGACTGGACCTTGTGATCTAAGTCACATATCATGTATATTGTAAAAGTGTTAAAATAAAGATCATTTGGATTCTCACTATATGGTACTACAATACAGAGTACTGTGACAGACAGAAAAGCTCTAAGCTCCTAAGTAAGTACACTATACCCCATATATCCTAGATGATAACACCATGGGTATTGGCACTGGGTAGACATTCAATAAACCATCAGAAAGCCAGCATCAAGTAGAGCCAGGACACTGGATATCGGATGCTGCACCATAAGGATAGCCATGGAATCTGGCATCAAAGTTAGTACTTCACTGGAGTAAATACTATGTCTATCTACAGCAGGCTGTCACTCTACCAGTTTTGATGCCAGGTAGACATTGAATACACTGTTGGAAAGCCAGCGTCGAGTAGAACTAGGATGGTGAGTATTGGACGCTGCGCCTAAAGACTGGCCATAGAATCTGGCATCAAAATCAGTACTTTACGAGAGTAAATACTACTTCCATCAATAGCAGGCCGTTACTCCACCAAATTTGGTGCCGGGCAGACACTCAATACATGGTTGGAAAGCCAGTGGCGGGTAGAACTAGGATGCCAAGTATCTTATGCTGCACCCAAAGGCTGGCCATGTAATCTGGCATCAAAGTCTAGACTTCACTAGAGTAAATACCACTTCCATATCAGGCTGTCACTCCACTAGTGTTGGTGTCAGGTAGAGGTTCAATACACCATTGGAAAGCCAGTGTCATGTAGAACAAGAACACTGAGTATTGGATGCTGCAGACAAAGGTTGGCTGTGGAATTTGGTGTTAAGGTCTATACTTCACCAGTGTATATACTACTTCAACAGCAGACTGTCACTCTACCAGTTTTAGTGCCAGCTGGCCATTCAATACATTGTTGGAAAGCCAGCATCGAGTAGAACTAGGAGGCCGAGTATTGAACACTGTGCCTAAAGGCTAGCCAGGGAATTTGGCGTCAAGGTTAGCACTTTACTAGGGTAAATACCAGTTCCACAGCAGGCTGTCACTCTACCAGTTTTGGTGCTGGGTAGACGTTCCATAGACTGTTGGAAAGCTGGCATTGAGTAGATCTGGGAGGCTGAGCATTGGATACTACACCTAAATAGTGGCCTTGGAATCTGGTGTCAGAGTCAGCTATTGGATAGAGCCTTGCTACCTTCTAGAGCAAGTATAAACAACAAAGTACAGTGTGGAACACACCAGCAGGGGAGGTGGTATGGGGGGGTAGGGCCCAGGGGGAGGTAGCAGGAGGAGGGCTAGTAGGAGGATAGTAAGAGGTGGTAGTAGGTAGAGCTGGTGGGATGGTAGTAAGGAGAAGCCTGAGTGGCCAAGGTAGCAGCTACTCTGATAATCACTCAGAATCTCAGGATGCTAACTACTCGGCATTACCCTCTTAGGATCTAATCTGGATGGAAAACCACCTAACTTTAGACTTAGGATGTATGGGACACAACCAGACTTAGCGCCCTAGTACAAGGCATATAGGACATACCAGACATTGAATCTTGCCCCCCTTGCATCAGGATGCCAGGCCAGTATGTCAGATGTACAAATAATTTTTACTGATGCAGTTGCTCAGTTATGGCTCTTCAGCTATACAATGTGTGGGTGGTACTTTCTAGATATACTGCGGGATAGGCAGTATGGGTTGGCTTGCTTCTTAGAATGTAATACTGCTAGTATAACTAGTACATATACCTATTAGGTGCACGCTAGTATAAATAAAAACTTGGATTGAATTTAGATACCTGTGCCTAGGAAATATACTTTTCTTTCCCTCTTAGTTATGTAAGACCTGAACTCCTAAACCTGAACCCTGAATCCTTGGACACCTAAGCAACCTTGCTCAGTACAAACAATACTTGTTTGTATACCAGTACCCAGTCTCCTCACACCCAGACACCCTTCCACAGTAGTGTGCCTTGGTCTACCCATACCCTCAGACTCTTCCCCATTATATTATACAATTACATTATAAAAATGAAATTACTACACTATCTAAATACTTACTAATTGTCTTCTCTAGATTTGATGAGTATGTTAGCTAATCTGTATCAATATTTAATTGGAATAATATAATTATTTTAATTATTATAAGAGTTATTTACAATAATTATAGTATTTTAATTATATGAGAATCCAATAGGAGACTAGTGTTTAATCAAACTCTTGGGATTATATCTTAATCTCCTAATCAGAGTGCACATAATAGCAAAATTTCCAGCTGTCCTCATTATTGGTACTAATTATTTAGATAGATAATAAAGATATCTAGTTCTTAATCTACAATTTCTACTATCATACTAATTATAATACAAGCATATAATATGGAACTTGAATACCTGTTCCTGCATTTTAAAAATTGGGGTCCTTGTATTAATAGATATTGTAAAGTAGATTTTAAAAGGTCAAAGTTATAGGTTATCATAAGAGTGAGTTATACTAGTATCAAATACTCTAAATTTGTATGTAATTTACTTACTTTCCGTTAGTATCTACTAGATATTATAACATTAAAAAAAGATAATAAGTAATAGTAATAACTATTTACTATAAGCCTATATGACTTATTCAATCTCTTGAATCACCTACAAAGATACTTCTAACATTGTTTTAATTTTATTTGCTAGAAAATCATAGCAAATTCATTTAAAAGAAACAATTTTAAAAACATTGTACAAGAAAAATTCATAATTATGAAATACAATTTACATTCTAATTCTCTATATTCCAAAGCACTTACTGATAAGATTTCATGGTGGTTATATAATTATTTGTAGATATAATCAAAGATGTATTTCATTTTCTACTAGTTGCCATGAGTGAGCCGCATCCCGGTGAAGAGCCGCTTCCCCGTAAACGACGTTACATTCTTATCAAGAAACATGTCCTTTTACGCTCACTACATTGCAACGATTTCCAATGGACTAGGGCAACTATTTCATTGGTTTCCTACATGGTGTGTTTGACCAGAGCCCACCTCGCAATCACCTTCCTTCTCCATCCACCAAGGCGGAGTCCCGGCCCAGCAAAACCTCTTGACCTAGGAGATAAGAGTGGCAGCTGGGAATCATACAGGATCTACCTATCCAGAGCGTGAGAGCTGCTTGGCCTGACGGTGGCGCCACTGCACCCCGGCGCCGGCGTAAGCCAGACTATTGAGGCGGGGATCATCGCGAGCGCCTGTCAGTAGCTTGTGGTACTCGCGGTCGGAGCCATAATGATAGAAGGCCATCTTGTCCCCACCGTTTGCCAGCTCGACCAGCTGGGAGACGCCCTTGAACAACTGAGCGCTGTTCCACACACGGTGCGAGTCCACCCCGTAGCCTTGCTGGTGGCTGAGTTGAATCCACTCATCCCGCTCCATGAAACGCGGAAGCACCACGTCGATCAGCAAGGGGCTCGTCCGTTTGGCGTAGTCAGCTTCTCTCTGCGAGATGGTCTCCGCTAGACGGTGCGGCAAGAACAGTCCGGTCGCCGTCCGCATCATCCCATTCTCGTGCGCCTCAATGTCTCGGAAGCTCTTGGCGAGGAGCATACCGTCCCTCTGTTCGCACTCGTCGATGCATACTCGCCAGGACGAACTCGAGCCCGAGGTCGGCCTCTCGATGGCTAGAAGGCACAGTTAATCTCCTCTCATGTTCAGAGGCCGGCCGAGCAAGAAGAACGAGTCGTTCTCCACGACCCACCGGCCGGGCTTCGGGAAGGGAAGTTGGTTCGCCTGCAGAAGGGCCAGTTGCAGAGGTGAGATGCCGAAGGACCCGGGGGAGAGAAGCTTGTCGTTGTCTCTTGCAGCGAGCTGCGAACGGGATGAGGATCCTGTCGAGGAGATGTGGACGATCCTCAGCTTGTCAATGGTGCTCTGAGGAACCCCGCCGTCCCTAAAGAACGCAGTAGTTCTGCGAGTTGCCACTGCAAGCATGTGCGTCTGTCCTCTCACACCGTTTGATGGATGGATCACCACACAGGGAGAGTGGCTAACGGACTCGACTGGGTCCGTCGAGATGTATACTGCGGTCCCCTTGGGTAAATAGGTTCCGACCATTTCGTAGAGGAGCTGTTGGAGCGTGGAAGCCGACTCATTCTTGACGGAGACTTCCAAAACGTCGTATGGCCACTCCGCATTCAATGTCTGCAAATCAAACAGGGTGTGATGGATCATCGCTGTTCCAAATTCTGCGCTCTCGGGCATGCATTCAAAGTTGGATTACGGCTCCGGGCTGTCGGTAGAAAGCTCGGCCTTTCCTTCCAAGAGGTCCATAACGTCGTTCAGCTTCTCAAGTCCCATGAGGAACAGAGGGACGATATCCCATTGTGTGTCCCTGCCCAGAGCACAAGCGCTGTCCGCAACGAAATGTGCCGCCTCACCAACCCTTACCCTCAGCTCAAAGGACCGAGCGCCATCGTGCTCGACCTTGTTGATCCACTGCCTCATCGCTTCGTTGGATGCGGGCGCTGGGATGAGCGCGTGGGCGGCACCGTTCATGGTATCAGAGCCGGGGTGCTGCCGGATTGTGAGCTTGTGGGAATCGCCGTCAGTGGAATAGTCGAAAAGACGCTTCCTGATCTCTGAGAAGCCCGTCAGGGAGAATAGCATAGCAGTAGTCGCCGCGCTCGAATGCCTTGCCGTCGGAGGAGCCAAGGAGTGGAACACCACGAGGGTCAACGAGCGCCAAGGCCTCATCCTCCTCGGGGTCCAGTCGGCTGAGCACATTGTGGATGTTAAGGTCGCCGTGGATTTCGCTCAAGATTGTCGGCACAATCTTGGCCACCTCAGGATGGCCAGTGTTCCCAACGGGCCAGATAGGCCAGGCTGAACCGAAGCCGGGCCCGGCCTGCCACAACTATCCGGGATTTAGCCCGGCCGGAGCCTGCAGGCTTTGAAAAGCCTGGGCCTGGCCGGGCCGGGCCCAGCTATAGGCCGTATAGGCTAAGTATGAATACCTGCCACCTGATAGGCCGGCCCGGCCTACATGGCCCAGCCTATGGCCTAGCCAAGCCGCGCCTAGCCTATGAATACGGGCCTACAAACATGTCAGATCCTTGGTTTCCACTCGGCTCATCTCCCATTCCACTAAACTGGTCCGAGTTACTCCCGTGAGAACTGTAAGTTACATAGTCCCTACGCAAATTCCACGCACTGATGTTAACAGAATAGAACGAGTATCAGTAAGATCACTAATATTATTAGGCAGTGATCCTACGTACGGGTAGTAATATAGATTTGCTCGTAGTTGATGAAAACCCCCAAGGTCTAATAGGACTCGGTCAACCATAGCGGGCACATTCACTGATGGGTTCCTGCCGAAGACACTGAATCGGAGAGAAGGATCGTGAGATAGGACTGCGTTGGAGAATCTGGAGATAGATTTCCTGGACTTCTTTGAGCTGGTTGTGGATCGGTAATCGCGTAGTTATCATACTTCAACCGACAAGTGAGGATATGGATAAAATAATAAACCACAATGAAAGTTGTAAGGAATCGAGCCACTGTTAAAACAATCAACTCTAAAAATCCCACTTGCAGGCCTGTAGGCTCCTACCAGGCCTGATAGGCTTCGGCAGGCCGGTTGAGTTCGGCCTATATCCGCCTAGGCTCATCGTCAGAGCGGCCTGCCTTGGCCCAGCCTACGGCCTATAGGCCGGCCTACCACTGGCCTAGCCCGTTGGGAACACTGAGGATGGCTCTCCAGCTTCTTCATGACCGGTTCGAACCCAGATAGCAGCCTGCCATTCAGCGTGACAGTCTCCTGCTTCAGGAGTTCGTCAAGTGCCTTGTCCTGCTCACGGGCGATGTTGAGACGCCTCCTCATCCGAGCAAAGTGCGCCTTCTTGATGAAGTATGGGCTGCATGACTTCCTGACCCTCGGTCCAGACGGAGGTGGCCATTCGGGCAAGCATGTCCACCATGGCCGTCACCATGGACTCGGCGCCCACATTGGCAAACACCAGCTCTCCAAACGAGTGGCTCGGGATGTATGGCAGCACAAGGGTGACGTCGCCGTTGTTGTCGATGACTTCATCAGGCACCATGAACATGCCCGTCTTCTTCACAGCCTGACTCGCCCACAAGAACAGCGACTGCCGTCGCAGCCATGGTGCGCCGTTGCCATCAATGCCGTACCCGATAGCGGACTTACGAACGGTCACTTTGCCGTCGGCTCCTGGCACCAGTGTGACGTTCGCCGATGATCCACTCTCGTCCAAGGCAACGGGATTGATTGTGTCCGAGGACTGTCCGGCGCTATGCGGGACAAGGATGACCGCCCCGCCGATGATCGCATCCACTCGAAGCTCCTCGAAAACAAATTGACCCCGGCTCCATTGCTGTCGCGAGCTGAATTGCTCGAGAAACTCGTCGATCGAGATGCCGTGCTGAGGTAGATAGTTGCGCGGAACGAGAACTTTCGAGTGCGCGCTAGCATCGTCTAGGATGAGTATGACCAAGTGCTGGCGGAACTTCGACTCGAGTAGGACGATGAGCCCCATGATCTGAGGCAACTTCTGGTAGGGGACGGCAGGTGACTACATAGGACCGCCGGGGGTCGTGGGGGACGGCGGGGGACGGTGGGGGACGGTGGGGAAGGGCTGGGGGTTTAAGGGACGGCAGGGGACGGTGGGTGACTGTGGGTGACGGCAGGGAACTGTCGGTGGATGGTCCTTGACTCTTATATGTCGGGCAAGTTCAGGAAAAGACCGGACGGGACCACAAAATGGCGTCCGACCTGGTCCGGGTCCAGGACGGACGGACTGTCCCGTTGAGAACACTGCTGCTGACTGGCACGGGCCTTGGAGTCATCATTGGGCTCGTTGCCGAGGATGGCATCGACTGCGGTGAAGTCACCCTTGGGCCGGTAGCCCTGGGTATGGATCAGGGGCACAGGCGCGCTGGAAGAGAACGCTAGATGACCGCCTAGCACAGCGAGCTGGCGAAGAGTACTTCCGACAGGAGCCATGGCGTACTTGATAGTTGGCAATTTGCTGGCACTTTTTCGAAGGTGTAACTACGTCTTTGTTAGATGAGAACGAGCTATAACACTCAAGCAACTCTTCAACTCACCAGAGTATTGTTTGTAAGTAACTGAACAGAAGAAAGTTGATAGGTAAAGCAAGAAGTTCAGTGAAAGTTCAATGGCAAGTTGTCTTGACAGTGAGCTTGGTGAACGAAATTACTCTTGAAGCCGGACTGATGGTCTGCTTTATACTTCCTTCTGGTAGCCATATCTTCTAAAGTCAAGGGATATTGGGCAGTACGGCCCCCAGCATGAACCAACGCAGCCAAGGGGGTCTGGCCTAGGCGTCGCATCATAATTGCAATGCTACACCACGCAACATCGTCGAATCCTGAACTGGACATTGCCACCGTCAAGGGGCGACAGCAGATGCCCTGCGAGATCCACAACCCTAAGACGACTGGCTGATGGGGGGCGTCCCTACCCTTGACTTCATGCGAGTGGTCGCTGGTGGATGCCTAAGAGGCTGACCGATTGTTGTCGTGCGACTCCTCGCATCCTCAGTTTGACCCGACGACCTAGGAGAGTGCTGTGCCCGGCTGTCTGTCCCGCAGCAATCTTGATGACACTGTCGTAAGAACTATGCACTCGCTGGCAATGGGTGTACCTGAACATACCGATCAGTACGTTAAGGTACAAAATTTGATGATGCGGGAGGAGGAGGAGGAGGAGGCACAGGAGCAATTGATTGATCCACGATACCACGAAACCTACCACGCGCCCGCAGGACACCGTCGGCCACTTTCCGAGACGGGCTATGCTGATACTCCTACCACACACACCAGGTTGACTCCTTGTCATGCAGTCCCCCCCGGCCAACTCGTCATTGCCCTTGTCGTGCAGTACTCGCAAAATGCCTTCCATCATGCGCGGTCATGCAGTGCTCGCAGACTGCCCGTTATCTACCCCCAAGCCCTCCAGTCCTCGCAGGCGACCTCTTCCCCCCTCCTATTGTCCACTCCTCTCTCCCATTGTCCACTCCTCCTCTCTCCCATTGGCCACTCCTCCTTGCCCGACTCTTCCCGTCTCACTTCGTACAGTCCCCCCAACCTCCTGTCTCTGATCCCCAGGCAGTGCAGTGCAGTGCGTCGTCGACTTTCGCTCAGGCCTCAGCCACAAGGATGAGTTCGCCACAGGGGAAGAAGCGGAAACGCGCACCCCAGCAAGACACGCAAGACACGCAAGAGTCAGACAAGGAGCAGGCACTCCTTCTCAAACAGTCGGCAGCCTCGAGGCTGCGAGATGCGCAGGAGCGACCCCAAAGACTGCATGAGGAAGCAGCGGCGCTCAAAGAAACGGAAGCGGCGCTCAGCAAGGAGGTTCAGGAGGCCGATGACACGCTGGTCAAGGCTGCCAAAGATCAGCTGCAGGGCGGACCGAAACCCAAAAACTGGAGGTGGGAGCGCCTGGTAGTCCTCACAGAACAGTAGCGCTATGCCGACGATGATCAGTCGATTGGATCACGAGCAGACCTCAAGAGAGGCCCTCCTTCGCTGCCAGCCTTCGCCTAGCTCGAAATGTCAGCTGGTCTCAGTGGAGAGCCATCGAGAAGGATCCGAAACACATTGAGGAGGTGCTCACGCTGTGCTCGAAGACCTGCCATAAAGAGCTCGACGCCGACTGGGGGCCCTACCGCTTCTACCTAGCCCGGCATTCGCCCGACCTCGTCCCACCCTTTTTCCTAGGTAAGCCTCCACACATGGCACCGGATCAACACGTTGACGAAACACGCTGACGAATCGATAGACCGGGCGGCTGAGGCATGGGGTGCGGCGGCTGGCTTTCATGCGCACGACTTTATCAATGCAGCTGTCCGGGCTTCCAGGGACTATTGGTCCCACACGGGTCCATCATCTGCCACCTGATGACCGGGACTCTCCAAAGTCAAATCACAAGAAGGGCCGCCTGATCCCAACAGACAATCCCATCCTACTATGCAGTCTGGCTACTGCCTCGGATTTCCGCACATTTTGGAAGCATAACTACCTGTGGGAGGACGTCGCTCGGCGCTTCAGCGCAGATGGCTTTATGCAGCAGTGCATTACATCCAGCCAGATGTGGCAGAGCGAGCGGTCGAGAGCCTTGCCTCTGAGCTACTGCATGACTGGAGCAAGTCCTACCACGCCTGGCGACATCCTTCTCGTGTTCGTGATAGGCTACAGTTCGTGGCTTTGTCTAATCGGGGCAACGTGTCTCGGAATGGCCGGCGTTTTCTCACCCGACCGCGAGTCTGTCCAGCGCCTGACTAATATGTTGCCAAGTCATCGAGACGGTGTGATGAGCAGCCAACACTGGTACCTCAATGAGGCATGTTTGATGTTTAACACATCGGCACCAGGAGACGATGTTTTGATGGAGCTTTGGGTTGGTAGCGAGGTGGGATTGGGTCTCCTTGCCAGTGTGTCTCTTAGCAACTGACAACAGTGCGTGTCGTAGACACTCCTTGCTCTTCGGATAGTGTCCCTGGATCTGCTACGAAAGTTTTAACTTTCCATCTGACATCCATATCGCACAGTCCTTTGGGCTGAATAGGTGTCTGCGGCTTTCTCTGATGAATGGAAGACCTCGGGTATGCTGCCAGCCATTGTGTAGAATGAGACTGGCCGGGTACATTCCTGCCACTCTGCATGTTGACCAGCTTTCACCTCGATTCTTGTCGTTCCGTAGATCTCTGTCCATACCTCTGTCCAGCAAGAGTTATTTAGAATGGGCGGGTCGACCAGTTAGATATGAGTCACCGCCTTACCGACATGCCAGGCTTTATCAACTCCGACTGATTTTCCCTATATCAAGTATTAGAGACAGTTGCCGTGCTTATGGTGAACAGTGATTCAATGTACATACTTTCAATGTAGATTGTTGTGCATCGACATCTGGTGGAGGGGGAAGATATGTAAGTGAAGAGGCTCTGGTGAAGGGATGTGTATGGCTTATGGCTTGTGCGGGTTGTGTGGCTGGGATAGGGACCCACTGAGACTAAGCCACAAAACGATAGATGCTATTGTATCGTACGAAGGGGGTCGGGGAAAGTCTGGCGAACGTGGCGGTGCATGTGGCGGCACACTTACCCCGTGATTGATCCTGTATATACAATATAACCAGTAACTGAGTGGCTTTCATTTCCGAGTCACGATATGCTTCAACCTGAGTTGTATTGGGCAATTTTCACTATGGTGTGTTATGGTCAAATAACTACGTCAACCACTGTTCCTGGACAGAGCCATCGCCACATGCACCGCCACGTTCGCCAGACTTTCCACCCCCTTCGTACAAGGTAATTGTTAAACAAGCGTACAAGCTCCTATAGACTCAAATAGTAGACTTTGGAAAGATAAGCTTAATTTATAATATAGCTCCGTATTTGGTGGATGGTTGCTGTTGAAGAAGGGTAAATGATCGATTTCCAGAGAAACACTCCTCGCTCGCTACCCTTTAAATACAGGGGCGCGAGCCACGTAAGAAGTCCTGCGACCACGTGTTACATCATGTGACAGCTGCCTACCTACTCTACGGCTCAGGTCTCCGGTAAGCGCAGACAACAAGCCTCCAAATCTTACTTGCATATAAACCTCACCGTTGTAAAATCTGGTACAAAACAAGCAAAAATTACCATCAGCTTGAGCCGATGGTCTGGTGACTTTCTTAATTTTGTAACATATGAACCTGTCTATTTATTATCTTTGGCATTGTTCAACACTTATCTACTAAACCGTATGTATAGTTTGCTAAAAGACTTTGCATCATGGTCATATTGTCAACTTTGTTAGTTTAATACTAGCCATAAAAGACTTATTGCCTATACAACCAGATCCACATCCATTGCCGTACCATCGCTCCTATCTTCCATGCCCGTGTGCCCAATGTCCTCCTGGCCACCAATGCCACCAACACCCTGGATAGACCCCCATAAATCTCTGCTTGCCAGAAGCGGCGGCAGCTCCGCTTTCGGCAGACAGTCCAGACTGTAGGTGAGAATGGTGTCGTCGTCGTTGCCCTCAAAGAGACCTCTATCCTCCCATAAGATCTGACCAAAAGGTGCATCGATAAGGGTGAGTGGCGCCAGATCAGCGTCATCGAGGGAAGCGCTTGAGCTAGAGGTGGATCGGCCCTCGCTGTCGGTGTAGTCGATGCTGTCATCGTCTTTGATATCCTCGCTGGCTACTGCCTCGTCTGTAACTTGGCTCGACATCTCTTCGGGTTGCATTGACACTCCCGCCCCCCTTTGTCTATTTTTCTGTTCCAACTCTTGAAGGGTTCTCGAGGACGACGGAGATGAATGGAGTTGCGGACACAGAGCCGGCATCCGCCTCGTGGCATCGGGACCTTTTGCGCTTGGTGCTGGCTGTCGTCTGTTGATCTTCGGCCCGTTTTGGCGCCTTCAGTCCGGGTACATCGTGCTGGCTGTGGACAAGCTCGATGTGTTTGTACCACAAGTCGTAGCTGTCGAACGAAGGCGCACCCTTACCATCGCATATCTGGCACTGAACCGGCTGCTTTTTGAAGTGTCCTTGGACACGGGTGTTGAGGCCTCGTATTGTGCCATACCAGGAGCAGAGCGTACAGCGTGCGATATCCAGGTGCCCATGTTCCTTGCTCAAGTGACGAAGCATCTCGTCGCCCAAGTAGCTCGCTGGTACGGCTCCCTCGACCTCGCAAAACTCGCACTCCAAACACAAAAAGTGTTGTTTGGAAGACAGGATCGCGGCATGTCGAGTGTAGTGTTTGATCGCGCTGGCTCTGGAAGCTGGGACGCTTTCTTTGCAGACAAAGTAGTCAAAGCAAGCCTGAGCGTCCATGCTGTCTGATGGCAGCTCGTCGGTGAGCCGTGGAGCGTGCATCTTGCCGTGGACAGCCTCTGCATGATTACTCCAATGCGATGGACTGTAAGAGACCTACAGAGGGAGGCCCAGTCGGTCGCATTCTGGACACTGGAATGGCGCACTTAATATCTGCAGATGCTCGTCTTTCACGTGCCGTGTCAGGTTTCCCCGCCGCTCGAAGTCGGCCCGGCACGCGAAGCAAGTGGGCTTCTCTGGTGATTTTTTTTCCGCCCCGGCGACTCCTGGTTCTCAGAGGCAGTTGGTGATGAACATGGGGCAGCAAGAAGGCTCCATGCTTTGGACATGTAGTTCAACAGCCAATCCATGGCCTTCTCTGAACGTTCCTCGGCATGGTCGTCGAAGATGAACTCCTGTGAAGGGTGGTTGCCGTTGTCGGAGGAGGCATGGCCCGCCAACAAGTCCATTAATCCGTCCATATGTAAGGCCACGTGGTCGGAGGAGGGCGGAGGCTCAGAGCTTTGCAAGTGGCTGGTCGACAAGCCTCGGGACCTCAACCTGGCAGCCTCGGCAAAATACTTCTCTCGGCTCTCAGCTACCACGAGGGTATACAGGCGCTGTCTGAGGCTCTCAAGATATGCTTTGGCTCTGGACATGTTGACCTTTGGTGCTCCAGTCTTCTGCAGGGCATCGAGCTTCTACCTTCGCTCAGTGACGTCTTGGCGACTTTCGAGAGAAAGCTTCTGCTGAAGAGTAGGGTCGACAGGGGCGCCAGGGTCCTTCCGCATGGTCAAGTCTCGAAGAAGGTCGAAAAGGGGGTCGTCATTCTTTGCCTGCAAAGGCTCCGAAGCGGCACTTGATGAGATCGTCCCGGACACGCTCAGACATGTAGTTGTTCTCATACACATCTGTCAAGTGGCTCATAACGAAGTTGCGCAACGCGCTAGTGAGGCAGCCATCAAAGTCGGCGCCAGCACCAACCCGGAAGGCGTAACATCGTGGAAGAAAAGGAAATCCAGCAACGAGCAGTAGTCGGCGAAGAATGCGTATGAAGACTGCGTAGGACATGGGGAAAATCTGCTGGTCGAGCATGCCCTGTTTCCACTTGAGTGGAACGTAATCGACATCTTCGAGAATAGGCCGGTGGAGTAGGTCGTCGACCGATTTGTAATCCGTTTCGAATACACCGGCTTGAATGCCACGGACAGCGGCTAGGTGGGTGAGGCAGAAAAGCGGGTATGGCAGCAAAGTCGTGGAAAACTTGAATCTGTAGAGAGCAGATATGGGTCAGCAGGAACTTCGGTACAAGAAATCCGTGTTGGCGATGGGGAATAGAATTAGCACTCCGCATGGACTCCCCGTGCACAAAAGAATATTCCAGAAATGGTGTGTCCCTGGTGTCAAGAGATAGGTCGGCCAAAAGGGCCTAGACTTGCTAGGAAATCAGATAGGTCAAGCAGACTTCTACTATTGTTGAGTGAGGCCTGCTGAAAATATCTAGATGAGCGGAAAGATACCCTTAGAGAGTAAAGTGGATCAGTCGCACAGTTGATGCCTCCATGTCCACCACAATAACCCCTTGGCAGCAACCCACCAGTGTCGATATCGAAGGGATGGTTCCAGCATTGAAGTCGGTGGAG